AGCACTTTCCGAAATCGCGGCTCCCTTTAATGCGCCTTGTCTTTTCTTTTACTCTTCTAAGTGTGATCGAGAACAATCATTAAGGCGTCCCGTCTGTTCTCTTGCGGAAACGCAGAAATTAATTTGAAATTAATCATTTAGATAACTTGCCTTTCACAAGATCCCTCCCTCTTACCCTCTGATTGATTCCAATCTGAACAGAGGTGAATTTACCAGGCATGCCCAAATTTAATGGTGCATATGAAATTAAACTGTTACAGATTGTAAACGAAAGTATACGCACGGAAACATACATGCAGAGAGGAAATTCTTGAAGAGCAAAGCGTTCTCTACAAGTGACTATACAAAATGAAGATGCAACCAGAAAAACAAGTCTAAAATCGATATTGAGAACTGAGGTCTGGAACTCCAACGTTTCAGAAACCTTTTCGCTAGTAAAAGTTTCGAGTCAGTGACCCATAATCGTGAGTTTCATGCGAGTTGGAAAAGGTACATTGTGGAATACCAAGTTTACGAGAACGTCATTGAGGAAAACAAAACTGAAGAAACTAGCCGGAAAGAGAGGAGCGCTAATCAACGGTGTTCGCTCTCTAGTGGTTTCTGCCCCGAAATTTTAGCTTTATGATGACTAGATTACCGGGAGCTATCTGTAGTTGTGTGGTAGAGCATCCAAAGTTCTGCCAGGACTCCGTCGAAGCCCCTTTTCTACGAGTATGCTCGTGTAGTTGAACGAAAAATTCTCTTGCTTCTTTCAGTCTCCCTGTGAAATGACTCATAAGCTCGACAGAAAAACTATCAGACACATAGAAGTAGAGTTCTTGCAACTGTGGGCGCGACAAGAAGAAAAATGTTCCATATGATATCGATGAAAATACTCTACCTCGCTGGCTTTTAAATGTGGCCCCACTGATCTACACCGAAAACCACAGTGATAAAAAGACAGCCATCGCCTTCCATCATACGCTTAAGTTTTCCCGCCAAAAGTTTCTAGGGCGCAGCGTGACAAAGTGCACTTAAGTACCTGTTAGTTTTGTTAATTTTAACCAAAATTTTTTACTTTACGAAAATTATTCTTTTTTTGAAAAAAAAAATATGATTGCGTGCTACAAAATACTGACATTTGCTCATACATGTCTCAACATCCAATTAATCACTTATGCGTTGCGAAAATTATTCGGTCTAAGAGAACGCATGTGAATCTCTATTGTTTTGACAGAATAGTGATAAATCGTTTAATTTTGTCAATAGGGTTTTTCAGATCAACGCCAAAAATAACAACATTGTTATAGTTTTTAAGCCTTAAAGGTCAGCACAAAATCAACATCGCGTGGGGCTGCCCTCTTTCTTCTCGGAAGGAAATATATGTACAGTTCCGTTAACAATTAGATCGGTAGGAAACGATCAATCTCTTTCTGAATTGCCTTTGTAATTAGATGGACCTAGCTTACACCAGAAAGAAAGAAACTTTGACCTTACAAAAACTCCTGCAGCGCTAGTAAAATGTTGTTTATTTGGCTGCCAAAAAAACAGTTTGCCGAGTTATTTTTATAACTGATAACTTTAATTTGCATCTGTTAATTTATGTTTTATATGGTGAAGTTTAAAACTGGGCGTTCAGTTTTCTTATAAAACGCTGCGAGTTATCAATGCTGTTTCTCCCACCGTTTCTAGAGTTTTTCAAAACGACATAAACCCGATGTTGGATCACTGATATCAATACTGTGAAATAGAACAAGTTACTTCACTCTCTTAAGAGAAAACGAAAGGGGAGAGATTAAACAGGAGACCCCAAAGTATCTAATTATTGCTAATTAATAACAGTAGACTAATTAATAACAGTAGAAAACTTTACTGATTCCATCTGCTTGGCTTCTAACATCCCACAGCTTTAAATTTTTACTAAATAGTAAGTCCTGGTCACGTATCCTCGGTACGTAGTTTGAAACTATAAATAGCAGATTAACTTTTACAATAACCCACTTTTTGATTGGTATTTTCACAGTATAAACAGAATTAACTTCCACAAAAACGTCTCTAAAGATACCATGAGGATTGCGTCATTTCCTTAACTTGCGTGCAAAAGTGAAAACAGAGCTTTTTTCCGATGGGAACGAGTTTTCTTTGCGTGGTCGGATTATTTTCAATTCCCTGTTGCGAGAATTACTTTATTGATTCCCTTGATGAATATTCTTCGTGGGAAATTGTAACTTACGACAACCTCTACATCCGTTTCTTAACCAATGGGCACGGTTGCCGGAGATGGGAAGGGCTAAGATTGAAATTTTTGGAGCACATTTTATATCAGAGAGCCACAACGTGACTCAACGAATCCAATAAAAAAAGCTAAGAAACAAATGGTAAAAAGTCAAAGAGAATGCGATGTCGAATTCTGTCTATCAATAATACAACCACAAATGCATAGTGTCTATTTATAGCTCGTCTATGAGCATCAGAGGAATAAGGGTCAAAACAGTTTACCAGCATGGCAAGAAAACGCGATCATTAGTTCCTGATAACAACGTTCTATTCCAGACTGATTTCATGCAATAGTTTAACTGACTGCGTTGATCAGTGTACAGCCAGTATACATCTGATTATAATAAATGAAAAATGTATTAAAAACATTTGTTAAGTCCTTCACAGTTTATGCATTGTCTCCTTCGATTTGTGGACCTGGCAGCACATGGTTCCTTCTGCTGACAAAACAAACTTTATTTCTTGCCACAGCTCTTCCTGAATACACAGTCTAACACAAGGAAAACAAAACGGATATTTTTGAGGTTCAGGTCATAGACCCCCGGAATGAAACAGCTGCTGATGTAGTGTGCCACCAAAGTGTCATGTGCTCAAAAAAAGGCATACGGAATATTTGGAGAGTTTCGAATAAAAAAATATTTTCTTATACCACCATTCGCGTCGTTTTCCCGTGCATTTTAGCCTTGCCTTCCCTGATGCGTTTAAGGTAAAAACCACGTGGTTGCACAAGCCAGTAGTGACGAGACAGGGTGGAAGATGCGCTCAAGCGCGCGGAGCTTCTAATAAGTGTTAGACCTTGTATGTCACATAGTGATGCCGTTTTAAATAGATCATTTTCTGCAGTGATCATGTGGCCGATTATCTTCCAAAGTCCCTATATGTGTGAGGTTTGTTGACAGCAAAACATCGCCCAAAAGACATGCAGCCCTTAATAAGATGCATCTATTGAACTCAAATTTGAACAAATTAGGACGAAATTTTCAGAAAATGTCTATGAATCTTTTAGAAATTAAATCTGAAACAAAAATCGCAAAAACGGCGAAAGATTACACCGTACATCGAGAATTGGACATGTTGGAAAAAATTGAATAAAACAGCAACTTGTGGGTGTTTTATTGAAAGTAAAAACGAGTAGAAACTCAACCTTTATTGCCTTTTTGTCTAACCTGTGAAATTTGGAAAATTGGAATTAACTATACTTTATATACCGCATAAGTTACTTATATTCGTATAACAGTTCCCGCAATGAGTTGAGCGTAATATGCAAATGATTTCGCTTTAAGACCCTCTTCCCAGCAGAAGAAACTCCAGAAGTTTGAAGAACATTAAAAACTTCTTTACAGAAAGGACGAAGAGCAGGCGAAGAATTCGCCCGCCACTGAGCCTTGAAATGCTTGAAACCGAGAAATATTTGACTTCCTAAACCTTTATGATTTTGTACTTTACTAACTTTTTAAATGGCGACGTGTTTTACGCATCCAAGGATCAAACCAGCGATCAGAACCGGCTCGAGAAGAAATGCACAGGAAGAGGCCGGAAGGAAAGCTGGTGCGACCCAGTGTTAATCGTCCATGTTTACTAGATACCAGTCATTCACGGTAAGTGGCCGCCATCTTGAAATGGGCTCTAAAACAAAAAATTGTCCTTATTTGTTTGACATGGGGGCCTCAACTTCTTCAGGGAAATTAAGTCGCCCAAACGCCAAAGCTCAATACATATTTTGGGGGTCTTTTTTAGTATCAGCGCTACTAAGATGTAGGCTAGAGCCCTACTCTCTAACCTTGCGATCTTTTTCCGACTCCCGATCTAGCAAAAGTTGAATTATTGAATGATAAGAGTGGATTTATGTCAAATCCAATTCTTGAAATGAGCGTAATCCAAATAAATTGCTCCTGTCATTGCGAGTGGCCATTTGTTAAAATTATACATTTACACTTTTTAGGATTTAGCTTAATATCGTTTTATCGACATTTTCAATTCATATCCTTATGATGGCGTTGCAGCGAGAGTACGTTTATCTCTGCTCTGGTCGGAGTAAAGATAATAGTGATTTTAGCAAGTAGAAATATGAAATAAAAATCTCAAAACTGAAAATAAAACAAATATTGACGGAAGTTGAAAAAAAAAAAAAGAAAAGAAAAGAAAAAGAGAATCACTCGATGAGGAAAAAATTTCCTTCGAGCCGGATTCGAACCAGCGACCTAAGGATATCAATTATACACTCTACAGTCCTCCGCTCTACCAACTGAGCTATCGAAGGAACCACGCAATTTGAGGGGAAAATTTAGTAATTTAAATAAAAATAAGATCGCCTTCCCTGGGTGCGGGCATAGATAAATTTTCTTAAGTAAATTTAACAGTTTCGCCGAAATATAACGACTGTAATGTTCAGTATCAATCTTAAATACAAGAGAAACGTTGTGGCGACAGCTGTTTATGTTAAGTGATTTTCGTAGTGTCAGGCAACGTGTCGCGAAGAACGTTCGTGGTTTTCGATCTCTTTTGTCGATGTTAAACTGTATTACTCGCGTGGTATATTATAACAGAGCTTTTTGAATTAATGTAGCTCGCACTGAAGTAACGCCTCATTATCAGCACTAAGCTCCTTCGAAAGTAAACAATCACTTGAACTTCGTTCGACAATTGAAACCCGGCCGTCTACCGAAACCTGGGCGAAATGTGATTAAAGACCTAATAAATCCACAAACTAAGCTGTTAGAAGCTTTGGGATTCAAACGACTTGATGGCGTTTGCGCGATAACAATTTCAGAACAAAACAATCGCAAAGTTGCAGAACTTTTACGTATTCTCGTGCATTTAATTTGAATAATGCCTATACTGTTTATACTGCATGATTCGTGTCAACTCTTTATGTATTGCGCCCGGGAAAACATTGCAATATTTTAAGTAATGTTAATTCGTAATTCAAATAATAAAATCATTTCATTTCATAATTCAATGTTTACTTCTTAAGTAAAACTATTACTCCGGAGGAAAGCCCAGAAACCTTCACCCTTACGTAGCATTGAGAATAAAATTAGGGGCTTTTCGACAAATTACGCTTTTGCAATATACTGCAAATCATGCAATATTGCTAACCTACAAAATTTAGCAGATCTAACAGTTTCATGTTACATTTTACTATTGACGGAAAACTATTAAACTTAACATACTAAGAAGAAATCTAATAATGTCAGAGTGTAGATGGATAATGACTCAAAATAACTAGGGTGAAAAATATTTAGGGTTTTCTCTGCATCGGTGGGCACAAAATTCAATAGAAAAATTAATTTTCTTATCCAAACGCAATCTTACTCGTCGCTTGAATAGATTCTCGTAGATAACGTAAAAATGTGAACTGTCGTACAATCTCTACTGAGCTTTCCCAGCTGACTTTAGTCTCGAAAAACACCGAATGACTGCAAAGAATATTATCATGACTCGTGTGAATGTTTCCAGAATGTTGAACAAAAATAACTTATTTGTGTCAACATTGGCTCGTCTTGTAAAGCCCGAGGGTAATTTTAGCCTCAAAGCATTTCTTTGTTGTCAAGTCAATAGATGCCAAAAAAAATAACGACAAAAACTGAGGTTCTTTCCTTCAAAATGTCTCAAACACACAAACAGAGGAAAAATGAGGAACAAGGAGGGAGAGAGGCCTAAATACAAGTCGACATAGGATTTTATAGTCACGTCACAAGTGAGAAAACGGTAATGAGAACGTTGAGGATATTTATCCGAGAGATGTCCTGATCCTTTCACTACCAAAACCAAGACGACAACATTCACCATTGAGGATGAAAAAAAGAAAAGCAAGAAGGACATGAAGCGTTTTTCGATTGATTGAGGAAATGTAACACACTACAAGAGAAAAACAATCCCGACAACAGTGGATACAAATACTAATAAAACGGATGGCCCCACCTATCTATTTGTAAAGCGAATCAATATTTGCCATCATTACATTATTCAGGGTTTCCTGAAAGCACAAAATTCCAAAATTTACAAGAGAGCTTAAAAATTTCTAAGTATAACCTCTACCATAACTTAGATGTGGATTCTTCAAACATTTTTCCACAACGGTGTTGAAGTGTAAATCAAACATTGCGTTGAAGTAGCTAACTATTTACAAATCATATGATAAAAAATAAAGCTGTTATTTAATAAAATACCTTTTTAAAGGACAGCAAACCCCCAAAAAATAAACTATCATGAAATATAGCTATTGTGAAATATATAATATACTAACAACTTTACACAAGAGTCCAAAAAACTGGGGCTGACTGCTGTAGATTGCACCCATTGCGGGCTCAGTCCGGTCCAAATTCGTTGATCAGGAAGTTGTACATGAAACGCGCTTTCTTCTGCGTCAATTGATTGACAGATCTCCTGCTGAGCCCCGCCTCTTTATTTCTGGGGGCTCTTAGGAACAAGGTACCAAACAAAGTAGCTGTAGTAAGGGAGAAGGTATGTTAGCAAACCCAAGGTAAACAAGAGGGCTAGTGAAAAGGAAAAAGTTCTACATAAATCAATCAATCACCTCAGGAAAGAGAAAAGCATGTGACAGCGAGAGCGGAAACCGTTGGGCAGCTCTTACGTACCCTTAACACCCTAACATCAGTATGTATATTCTCCATACTGTTCTCTATTCATTTCTAGAGGGTCTGAAAAGGAGAATTTGTTTAACAGTCAAGAGTTCTTTGGTTGTTGATCATTTCCCTTTATTCTAATGACCTTGATGTCTGATTCAGGGCTGATATTGTGAGGAGAAATTAGATGCCAGTCACTCTTAGAGGTTAAAGGGCTAAGTTACATTTACATTATTTAGATTTCCTGAAAAAAAAACATTTTCCAAGGAAAAATTGTGTGTCACTTTTCGTCAAATATAACTTTTCCTCAGTCCCTGAATTTTTCTTACGCCCTTTTCAACAGAACTTTTTTTCGTTGTTATCAAGTTCTTCCCAATATCTATGCACTCATAGACTGACCCAGAGTTTTGGCGTCCAGTTTATTTTCATTGGAATTTCGTAGCAGCTCTCTCAGGAAGGCACTGATGTATGTGAACACATTCCGATGGCTCTTAGGGATTTGAAAAATTACCTGCAAGTGAAAAGACAACAGTAAGACACTGAGGACTCCATACTTCTCTTGAAAACACATGTACAGGTCTACACAGGCCAAATGCAACCACTAAGGTTGAGGTTCACAGATATAAAGATAAGTTTGGATACTGCAGTACTTTGAAGGCAATCATAGGCAAAGGTAAATGAAACATCGAGCCAATGAAACCATAAGCATTAAGCGCAGGAAGCTTGGGGGGCGATTGACTTAAGTTCTACATGTGATTGGCGGAACGAGCATTCTGGATCAGTCAAATAGCGCAGATAAGGAAACCCGATATAATGTCACATTACTCTCGACACTCAATGGAAAATTCCTCTGCCTCGCGTTAATGCCTATCAAACAAGTTTAACAGCCAGAGGTCCTTTCACCAAACTGATCGAATAACAAATAGCAACATACGTAGCCCCCTCACAAATCCTTAAAAGTTAAATGACAAACCTGTTTACAAAGCATGTAGTTGTTACAACATTCAAGCGCTCTCTGATAAAACGCATACGGAATCACAGGTTCAGGTAGGGCTTCCAAGAAAATAAGTAAAGCTTCTGCTATAGAGTAAACGCTACCAGCTATGAAAACAGTCAAAGAAACACAAAAGGTTTTATGACAGTTTGTAAAACATATACCACGGGCTACATGTTCTCTTTCACGACCGTTCGTTGAACTCGTCACGTCACACGTTCAGGAGAACGAGCGTTATGTGACGTTATAAATACAGCAGCGATGGAAACTACAGGTCACACCATAAAGAATGATACAAAGAGAAAAAAACTGAAGTGGACCTGAAGTAATAGGACGACGCATTATAAACAACTCGGTATATTATGCATTCTTCATTGAGATCCTGTGTGATAACTGTTAACAGAATGACAGTCATATCAAGATGTTAAACAGCAAAACCTTTCCTAGTTGTTTCATGCCGTTAGAGTAAACTCCACAAATAAATGAAGTACATCAAATTCTGACATGTGGAAGATGTCAAACAGCGAAATGATCACAAAAGATGAATTGCAATGGAAGGAACTACAGAAAAAAATTGAAATGAGCCATTAGGCTCCTTTACGCAAAAAAAAAAAAAAAACCCAGCACAGAGATTGAAGATATTTTGAAATGTTTCAAACAATTTTCTTCGAAACATCAAAAGGATACGCAGTTTGCCACCTCGACAACAGTCTAAATGTGTCCTAATCTCTTCCAGATCTTTCTCGAACCCAGACTGCTTCAATAAATTCTCCTGCAGTAAATCAAAAGAAAACAGTTTACAAGGTTGCCTTCAGTGTACATGTGCATAAAAACCATGACTTGTCCAACCTTACGCATGCCATGGGTATACAAGTGATCTGTAAGAAGCCATAGCTCTTTTGGAATGTCTAGCGGCTGGTTATCCGAGAGCGTCGAAGGATTTGACGTATTGATGTGCTCCTGGAAGAAAAGACACCTTAAATTAACATGCTTTTTAACAGAACATTGATTTTGAAATTACTTTAAATATGTTTAATCACAATACTACCCTTAACCCATTTGAGCAATATCACATAATGCCAAACTTACCAAATCTACTAGTGTTGCAACAGGAACTTCCCTGATAGGTCCGTACATGCGCACTAATGCCTCAATAGACGAACCAAACACGCTAGGAAGATAGTTACCACTGACTGACACCTGCATATCGTTAAAGAAAAACGTGTTGTACACATGTTCTTATCTTTCTCACTGATCTTTCTAACCTTTCCCCCCTCTAACGTTTAGAAATCCAGAAAGCCGAGAAATTTTCCTTTTTTTCTTTGCTCTATTTCTTTATCTCAAGGACTTGTAGTGCTCACATTCTATTACAGCGCTTTCCAATTAAGGGTCGTAACCTAAAGCCAAACTTATTAGAACGGCCAATCAGAAGAAGGGAAAATGATCTAAAGGACCAATGAGTACGTAAGAAAACGCAGGTGACCAAGTCCTGTTTGGTTTTAGTTTGAATCTGATTGGTTGAGAGTGTGGCACGAGTTTTTTGGACCAATCATAAAGCGAAGTACAGCAAAAACAATATAATCTCAGCTTCTTTCAAGAATCAATTGAAAATGGTACTATGAGTGATCGGTAAAGTAAGATCTATTACTGACTGAAATAAAACGTTGAGAAAATAAAAGATGAAAAGCAAGGATAACAAGAAAATAGGAAAATACGTCACGAGAGAAGATGAACCAAGATGTTGCCCCTCCCTTGAGTTTCAGGAAAAAGTTGTTCACTTCTCTCTACAAACTCTATTAGAAAATGTATGGACATCATTACATCAGTAACGATGACTACGATGACAAACTTTGACCAGTCTGTCTGAAAGTCCTATGCAAAAAAGGATACAAAAAAGTCCTTTCCTCCTTCCAAGTGTAGGACGAGAATATCTTCAAGTTTCTCGTCTCCAGAGTTCATGGCTCCGGCAGATTCTTTATCAACATGAACAGTCAAGCGGACTTGTAACGTGGATCCTGCCATGGTTGGAAACAAACTATTGAATCAGATTTACATAGGTTAAACTATAAGTAGTCCCTGCTTTTCGGCGAGGCGCGTCCTGCAGGTTGAAAAAGAGTTTAAAAAAAAGGAAGAAATTGATGTTGGCGCATCGCGGGGAACTCTGGGAGTGAGGCGCATGAAAAGTATGGGTCTCCACTTTTCGTGCGCCTCACTCCCAGAGTTCTGCGCGGCGCGCTAACATCAAATCTTTTTTTCACCGATTTTTTTTTTTTTTTTTACCAACGCGACTGACTTCATTGAAAAGCAGGGACTGCTCGAAGTCTGGAGATAAGGCGCACTTGTAAATACTTGTGATGTTTCTCAGTCTATGTTCGTATACACCGAGAAAAATATTACTCTCCGATGGACATGACGCAGATTCTTCATAAGAAATTGCACTAATGAATAAAAAAAGTAATACTGCCTGCCTGCCGGAAATCAGCTAAGATACTGTTCCAATGCTGAGGCAAATAATCAATACCGTGTTGCAAAAAGCGTTGAGGAGAGAAATAATGAAAATCAGATGATGATAATGACAATTGTAATGATGATTATTTTATATAATTACAGATTATTGTAATAGGTAACGGTAAAGAATGAACTTCTCTAACCTTTAGATATAATTCCCAAAGGAGGCTTGACCGACAACCAAGGTTTACAATACCTAGTCTCATCTAACTTAGCTATGAAAGCAAACTGCGCTGGCACCTGTCGATCAATCAAAAGGTCGTTAACATTACATCGTAAACAGTAAACGCTACCTTAATTAATTCTCGTAACTGAAGGGCATGATTATCAACTTTTTACGATGGCCAATTTACATCATCAACTCTATTGATAAAACCAAAATCATCTCGTTACCGAGCAGCACCACAAAATTTTCTCTGGAAACTCACCCCATCAGTAAATTTTTTTGAGGGTTAGTTCTAAGAATTCCGAGCCAAGTCCTAAATATCCTGTAGTTGATTATTATCTTAGTTCTCATCGCCTGCCTGTCTAGCGGTGTGTTAGAATTGTTGGGAGAATTTATCCAATGACCACTACTGATAATGAAAGGAATGAATTTACATGGGAAAAGGGCCAACAAGGGTTATAAGCTGTAAGAATAGCATTTTGATAGAAAGACAAGCAAACAGCGCTGTGTGAACTGGTGGACAAAGCTGAAGAAAAATTTGATAGAAACAGCGGACGAAAACACCAACCTGACCAATATTCTCAACTTCCAAGGTAGCTGTCTGTCTCTCAAGAAACTGGATATCTTTGAAAATAATCTGAAGCACAAACAAACAAAAACGAGTTCATAAGCTGACTAAATACCTAGGCCCAGTTGTTCGAAGGCCGATTAGCGCTAACCCATGGTTGAATTTTATTCTGGGATTCCATATTTCTTTGTTCAAAAGCCTTTATACGACAATTTTTCTATTCCTTATAGAGCATCCAATTACCAGATTGTAGACAAAAACTAAATTGTATTGAATTTTCTTTTAAAGCTTTCACATATGAAATCAGATTTCACACTAACCCGAGGTTATCTTAACCAGAATACAAAAAACCCGACCCTGCAAGAAACATTTTGTTAATATCTTCTGTACAATACCTCTGCAGTGCTTAACTTGACTTGAGGAAGGTTGTCGTTTTCGTGTCTGTCGAGACTTCGAATGACATCCTCCATAACTTGTCTTTCTTGCTCTCCGTTAACAACTTTGACCTGTGAAAAAAAGAGTTTTTTTTCTCAAAAGTGACACTGATTATTGTTGAAGAAATGTAAAATGGTTTCCGTGTTTACATCAGTCTGTAAACACGGAAACCATTTTACATTTCTTTTATAAAATAACTAATGAAAGAGGAACGAAAACCGTGTTTACATACGCTCATGTAAAATAGTTTTATGGCCAATCAGAGCGCGCGTACTATTTGAATTATTTTATAATGAGCATAGTGTATAATAATAAAAACATGCCTACGCATTCACACCTATAGCTAACTTTTGCTCACTTAAGTGTTACAGAGTCTCCGGCAAAAAGCGAGCGCAAATGAAGAAATGAATTACGTTATTTAAAAAAGAATCCTATTATCCTAAGATCTTTACTGGCTTGAAATCAAGGTAGATCTGATATTTCAACAGTTTAGTTAACTTAATCGAGATTTGGACCACAATGTTGATGAAGGTTTCATTTTGAAATCACATAGACTCTACAAAGAAACTTTACCTCATAACGTTAATGTTGTACGTATGAACGTATTACTACTCGCTGTATAATGATGACCTGACTTTTTTCTTGATTTGGTACAAGGGACAGGGGGGTAGAGGATGAAAATTAAAACACTACTTCAGAGCTCTACGTTATGTCAGTGAAGTTGATGTTGAAACATCGTCATGGGTCTCAAGGTGAGGGAGCAGTTTGACAATTTTGTTTTTGTCTTGCCAAAGGCTGGGTATGAAGGGAATAAATATGTGTGTGGATGAGGTACACGTTTGTCACTCTAGCCGTGATGCGTTAACACTAATGCATGGTTAACACTCACCCCGACTTCAAACAAAGAGCTGACAGGCTTGTGGTCACTGATTTTAAGTAAATTATGACTACGATATTCCAGCTGTTTAACTCGAGATCCTCTCCATAAAATACGGTCACACCAGGCAGGTGCGCGACCTTTCTCACTGAAAACGAGCAAATTAATGTTAGAATACTCATATTTCTTTTATTTTTCTTCGAGCTGTGGAGCTATTGTCTGCTGTACCCGTCAACATGACTTTGCCACCCGTCCTTCAACTCTCAACTCTTAAAACTTGATTTGTAATTTTCTCGTATAGCTGCCACGCACCTCTTCGATTCAATTCATTTGCTTTATAATGTATTGATATTTAATTGTAAAAAGACATTACATGCTAGTCACTTCTGGAGGTTCAGGGGTAAAACAGACCCAAACTTAAATGGAGTTAGGGAAGTTTCAACCCATTTTGAGTCCTCTCAACATCGCTCCCACCAAAGCTTGGTGCTTGGGCTTGACAAATATTATCATATTTGGCACCGAGTAAAACAACCAGTCACTTTGCACAGGATTACGTGGGAAGATCTCGTAACGTGGAATAGGCACGCTTCTCCCCTCAAAACATAATCGAACTCCATGAAAAATTTCCTTGGCTTTCATCAAGAGGTCTTTAAAGCGTAGCATCGTTGTTGGGAAAAGGAAAGCTTAGAAAAATTAAAAAGGTACCAATTAAGGGTAGTGCTCTGAGCAGTTAATTCTTGACATAAACAATTATACTTAAAGAAACATTCCCTGATCAATACTCAGCCGACCAGTTCCTGTCTAAAGATCAGGTCCCTTATAGGAATAAAATTGTACTTTATTCAGACTACATGTGCCCTGTAAACACTGTGATTATGCCAAATTCACCTTGTGTCCCAGTTGTCTGTCCCAGGATCATATTTGTACGTTGGTTTGAACTTGATCTTGCCCTCTTTGAAACCATTAAAGCATTTCTTCTCAGATCTTTGTTTGATTAGTTGGTCATTCTCTAAGAGTTCGTCATACTTCCCTGTATCTGCTAGTCTTCTTACCAAATCAGAATCCATTTCGCTAATTCTGTAATTTAGATCTCCTAACCAGAACACTGCACTAAAAGACGACAAAAAAAAAATCACTGTTAAGATAGGGATGAGAGGATATTTTTCCATGAACACCAACATCCCACCTCACCCTACCCCTGTGGAAGTCCAACTTTTCTTTATCCCTTGTTCTGATGGTTTGGTTTTCAATAGTTTGTAGCTATTAAAATTGAAAAATTTAGCCTTCCACGTCACTTTTGTGATGTGAAATTTAAGCATTCATCTTCTTCTTGGTCCTAGATCATCCTTTCTTCCCGAGAGCTGATTCCTCTTTGGTGCTTCACTTTCTCAATAAACTACGTTTCACTCATTTTCCTTGTATTAAAGACAATTACAAAAAAGCAATGCTAATCAAAACTCTCCACTGTGCCTTCCAGAAAGAAAATAAAGAAACGTTAGAAGCACACGACACTGACTTACTCATGATCAGTTATATAAAGAGACCCATCGGCTCCATTAAACTCCAGCTTGTTTAGAATATCTCGATAGTCCTAAAGGTTTAAAGGAAATAATTTACCCCACATTTCAATTTATTATTTCATTTCAATTTTATCAGTTATTCAATATACATACACTTTATGAAGGCACTTGTACACTCCTACAGAAGACTATAACAAATTGATTGTGACATACATTTCAATCATTGGCATAAAATAATTCATTACCTGGTTCCTTCTTTCAAATTCTTCTGTGTGAGCTGCTAGATGTGAATTCACAAAACAAATACTGGTGTTGTGTATCTGCATTCTAATGGCCACCCCTCCTTTGTTGCCCTGTTTCAAACACACAAGAAAATTAATCTACACAGTAGCTTCCAATTTTCAATCACTATGGCCAATCAATTAAAAAAAATATGCAAAAAATATCCCAGAGAAGTGATAAAAAGCAAAGATTTAATGGATGCTACAGACCCTTGCCATGGGAAAACACAGGTGATAACGTAACAATTACGTTTCAGAACATCTTAATGGTTAAGAATATGGCACAAGTTTTTGAAGCCAATAACAGATTAGTGAAGCCATCAAAGCCAGTAAAATCCTAGACAAATTTTGTTTTTGTGCTACAGCTAAATTTCTTTCAACCAGGAGATAGCCAATTGGTGAGTACATCTGCTAGTAAACAATGGCCTTGCTTGCAAGTTAAAGAAATACAACCAGCTAGATGAACATCAACTAACTACAAAAATATACATTATTGCACAGGCTCAGGAACAGTACATATTAAGAATTCCCTGATGTGTTTGGTAGAAAAGATCACTTTGCTATGGTGGCTTAGACCCTTGAATTCTCTGTAGCTCAGTGGTACAGCAAAGGAGCAAGGATCCCAAGATCTGAGGTGACATACATGTACCTCATCAACACATATTTTTCTCTTCATACCCTGCCTTTGGCAGGAAAAAAACAAAATTGTTAAACTGCGCCCTCACCATGAGACCCATGATGCCAGTAGCCACCGTTTCAGCCTCAACTTTACTGACATAACGTAGATGCTCATTTTTCACAAACACTACCAGTAAAATGCCAACCAGACGAATTGTCTTCACCTGTGAAAACACAATATCTAATAGTCACTTTAAAATACACTAAATCTTCCATTATAAATTTTGTACCCTTGTCATATCAAATCTCTTCTGGTAAGATCACAAAAACATTCATCACCTTGTGTGAAAATAGAAATTTAAAACTGCATAAGAAATAGGTACAGGGTAAGTTTAATTCTGTATTAATAATGGATGGTGATGGTGATGGTGATGGTGATTTGGAAACTTTTTTCAGCATGTGAACTTTCAAGTTTGTTTGTTGAATTTTTTTTTCCATGTACCTAAGACGCAAAAAGACTTGTATACATGTATTATCAATTAAAAATGATGAAAAGTTGATATTTCATGACTAAAATTAACATCTTCTTTCTTCTGTAAGATGGAATGCACCAATCAAAGAAAAGCATAGCTAGGGGTGAAGCTGCAAAATTCACATATGACCTGCTGGTTAATATTTGCATGATAAAAATTTGTTATTCTCATAAGAGAAGCTGCTCTGTGAAAAATTGCATGCTTGGCATGACTTTGTAACAAAATGGACCTTTCTTGTGGCATTATTCATCCAGAAAAACTCATCTATAACAACTGTAATTTCATTTTTTTATTGCACCCTTAAAGAAGGCCTGAATACATAAAAGAACTCTTGTAAGAAAAACTTCAACATTACTACATTTGCACAGCATACTCATGTTCTGATGGATATTTATGCATTCCTTCTTGTACAGGGCTGTGTAAAAGAAGTCGCCAGCTTAGAGAGAGTGTTTCATCAATTTCTTGTCCCCAAAATCAAACCAAAAACAAAATAATATATTTATTGGAAAGTAACTGGCATTCCCTGTCACCTTAGTGTACTTGGCTTTATGAGGTAGTCCTTTCTCTGAAATTTTAAGCCATTCATCCTCTCTAGGAGTAACATTCTTTAACAGTGTCTCAGCACTGAGATCAAGTTCTTGAAAACTGGGAAAAAAGGATAGTACAAATTGTAATTACAAGAGTTCACAAACTGAATAAAAACAGTTAAAACTGTCTTAATTGGATTGCATTTTAAATCAACACTGTGCAATTAAAGTGTTCATTTTGTCTTCCAAGGTATATACTGCAAAACAACCCATCTTCTGTTGATGCCATTATGAAAGAGTGGATGGTGCAATTGAATAAAACACTTATTAGATATTTAGCAAACTGTACATGTGCTACAGGTTTGTCACTACACTACACTAAAATTAATGTGCAGGTCAGAACAACATCCTACCCTAGGCAGAAAACATCAGGAGGATCTTTATCAACTGCTAGCCAAGGTGTAACGTCCTCTGCAGGATACTGACCATTAACATTCCATGACCCAACAAAGATCCTAAGGAGTCAGACAATTGAAACACTTTGGCTTAAGGACAATCACTACAGCTAAACCTCAAACTCCCATGAGTGACCAAGGCAGAATTTCTCCTCACAATTTCTAAACAATACCATGCAGACAAGTGATGAGAATAAAGAAAAATGTTGATTTTGGGATTACTAATTGATCCAATACCAAATTCTCCAACTAAATAATGAATCAATGATCATTTGACAGACAGTAAGGAGAAATACTCATGAGATTTTGGGAGTTAAAGGGTTAAAACCATGTTACTGTGTTGTACATTGATAGTACAGTTAGATGTCATGTAGATCCATTGCACAAGAGGATCCAGTTGTACATTTGTTGTTCTTGTTGTACATTGATAGCAAAATTTATATATAATTATTTCCATTGCCCAAGTGTATCTATTTGTCAAAATTTCATTTTCAAAATACTATACCACCATATAGTAAGCACACCTAAAGTATTGTGAGCATTTGTATGACCTTTTCAGAAAGTGTTCATCCACTTCACTCTATAAGATATCTTTGCTTTGTTCCTATATTTAGGCCCCCTGTCCAAACTTATCAAAACATTCACTACCAAAAATATTGCTCTTAAAACTGCCTACAATGGAACATACAGCTTTTCATATTGCCAGAGTCAAATCTACAATCAAGGATGCAGCCAATTAATTACACTGTCAGCAATTTTTGGGCTTTCAAATTTATCTGGTGAGGTTAAACAGGAAAGCATTGCATTTTATGTATTCTGTGTTTGGAGAGAAGATTTGTAACTTCTCCTGATTAAAATTCAATTTTCAATTTCTCCTCAGTAGAGTGAAAATGGCATAACTTGCTAGTGTCACCATGCCCTTCAAGTTTTTTTCCTTTTTTTAAACATAAAACCAAAAGGAACATGTCAGCTTACTTTAGTGTTTTTACGTGAGTGTATTCTTCCTCCCTTCTAGCCATGTGGAGCCTAATAAACCCATCTCTGGCACCAATACTAGTTGGAAGGATGGATCTCCTGGTTAAAGCTGGTGAGTTGGCCATACCTTTATCCACTTCATCAGATGCAGTAAGACTTGCTGATGAAAATGATGGGTGGATGGTAGGAGATGGTGAAAAACCTGGCATTCCAAACGCATCCAGGGATCCTTCATCAACTTTGGATTCAGTGGCTAGAATGAAAACAATTGCCGCATAATACCTGCTTACTTTCCCATTTCTGTTTGTCTCATTTTTTTTTTTTTTGGTTCAAGTCCAAAAGCAGAAATAGCATTCTTAGAAAATGCAGCAGTGTCGCACAAATGCTTAGGGTTAGCAAAGCACAACTGTTTTCCTGAAGTGCTCATATCAATCCATCTGCCCTTTCACATGCCAGGTGCTATGATTGTGGTTTTCTTTAGGATTAATTGAGCAAGGCCATATAGGTCACATGATAATATTTATTATTTGTGATGTGATATAAATACTGTACCTTCATGTTTCCAAATACTGCATAAAGTATTAAAAGTAAGCTATTTAAAAGCTCTTTTGAAAATAATACAACTGTATATACAGTTAAAAGATGTTATTCTGCTGCCCAATAAATTTGAAAATTTGAAAATTCCAAGTTAACCTATTCACATTTGCAAAAGAAATTTGATAGCACAATTTTCATTTGGTACCTGTAACTAATTCTGGTCCATTAGAACTTGCTTCTTCAATGTGACTCCAAGGCCAGCCATCTATTTATTATATAAATCAGCATAAGATGAAACCTTCCCAATTCCAAATAAATACCAAATTGATGCTTTGAAAAAAAAGCCTTAGAAACCCTCTTACAGACAAGTATATAGAATATATGAAAAAACTTGAATAAATAATTTTGTTAGTTGAGATCTCTAACAAATTTACAAGGTGCATGATATAAAGCCACTATAAAGAAACTCTTGATGCAAAAGTATATTCTCCTTGTATTTCAAAAAAAGTGAAACAACTTGAAAGGAGAATTTAGGATTCTATCACCTATTATGTTTTTTCCATACACCCTCTAATTATATACCTCTGTTTGAAAAACTTTTCCTTCCAGTCAGCTCTTGATATCTCTTCAGCCACTCAAATTCAGGCATACCGACCAGATGAGCCCTCTGTCTGTAAGCTATGTGAGCAAAGCAAAACATACAAATGTATCAACTTTGGCCATTTCACTTTGATTGCCTTCCACACTATGTTGAATAAAATTTGAAAACATACAGTAAAAAAAAAAAAATCCTGATTGTGACACATGTTTGGGCGATTGGTCCCTCCACCAAAGAAAAACCTGCAGAAGGAGCTGTGACTTTCATTTGGCTTTTACAAAAAGCACCACTTCTAGTACAGGACAGTATGGACCATAGGCCTAACTGTGAACATAAACCAAGCTGCTATTTCTAATCCCTCCAGTATGATGCAAACAAGGCTAGTTTTATCATACTGCTTGATAAGAAAGGGAAACTGATTCTGAAGAGAAAACCTAAATTACTGCAAGTGGTCAAATTTTGGAAATAATAATTAGTTCAATTGATGAAAAGATTAGTTCACCTGCAATGGCTTTGTTCAATTCACGTAAGAACATATTTCCATGTGTGTCTTTTTTCACTTCAAAGAGAAGCCTTGTCTGGTCATCAGTCAAGATCTGAAACCTGACCATACCTGGGAGAAGATATCAAAATGAAATTAAAATCTTGCCACCCAACAAGTTTCTACTGTTGATTACAGTTTCTTCATACATAGTGTGAAATTAATTTTTTTTCTGATAGCCACTTGGCTCCTAAATTTTTCAAAGTGGTAGCCAATTCAAAAGAAAGTTTGTCACCATTTCTTAAGACAAACAAAACCCTTTTTTTACGTTGTCAGCGCTCTAGATAGACCCTTCAAAATTAAGTCAGGAAAAAGATCTTTAACATGCTACAAAGTGGACACTAGAATGGATGATATACTGTACTGCACTGCATTTTGGACATAAAATTTAACAAGGAAGTTTGCTGTGGATTTATCTTTGCAAATCTTTTTAATTCATTATATCTCTAGGTAAGGTTATGATGAAGCATTCTAGTCACCAATTTGGCAACTAATTTTCAGGATTTGGTCGCCAAAGTGAAAAATTTAGTTGCATTGGCGCCTGTATTTCATTGTTTTGGGAATATTTTATAATGAAAATTAATCAGTCAGTGCCTTGAAAGTGAGGCCTGGGAGTAAAATTGGGTTTTTGGGCATAAGCATACAAAATACCTATTACAATAGGATCACTTAAGATATTTAATCTGATAAACTCTGAAGCTGTGTGGTAGAACATCAAAGCAAAGAATTCAACAAGATTATTACCTAAAATCTTTTTTATGATAAGTGAAATGTCATTACAAATATATTATATTACCCTCTTTACTGCTGCCATCACTACTTGGTGGATCTAGGTGCACAAATAAAATAATAAATAAAAATCAGCACCCTCTGCTAGTAGATCAGAGTTGATCTGTGTATATAAAATGTAGATTTACTTTTTGACCAAATTGCTTTCCCACTAGAATTTCACACTTTTAAAAAGCCAAAATGTAGCCTAAACCATTATAACATTGTGGTTAAATGAATTCCAGGCAAAAATGACTTTGAACTGGCTTGATTTACTTTACACTTGTTTACTAGTTATGATGTCTAACCTGAAACAAGAGGAATTTGAAAATCAAACTTGTTTACATTTAAAATCAATTTGACCAAGAAATCATTTCAAGCTAAATATGAAATAACATGTGCTCAGCATAACATACCAGCAACAGATGTAAGTGAAAAAGGTCCACGAATAGCAAAAATGTACAGGACAATAAGGAAAGGTTCTTTAAAAGATGATTCATCTTTCCACTGGAAGATGATTAATCTGTTTGGAAAGGAAAATAAACAGGAAAAGAGAAAACCTTACACTCAGATATATAATTAATTGTTTGAGCATGAGCTCCACTCTTAATCTAGTATAAATACCAGTGCTAACAATTAAATTTTGTATGATTACATGTACATCTCTTTTTTTTCTATATACAATCATGTACATACCCAGTATCCAGATTCCTTGCAATAAGAGCTATTAGACAATGAACTTTATTGTTGTCCTTCAGTAGAACTCCAGTGGTGCAGTAAACAATATTAAGGAAAGTACATCATCATTAAATTCAATCACTAACAATAAATAATAAATAAATTAAGTAATTAAATAAATGATCATTTTTTTGCCTTTTATTGGTCTCATTAGCTTACCAAATAATTGCCTTCAAAAATGGTTGTATCTAATTTAGACTTTAACAAATGTATTTTGCTGCAAAGCATAAAATAAATCTGCTCACGCAAAGTAGTGTCCATCCACCTACAAGGAAAATGCAAGCTCATTTTCATGGGCTGTCAGATTACAAAAGGATGTGGGGTAAGACTTGATTGTTTCCAAACAACAATAAAAACATGAGAACAATAAAGTTCAGAATGACAACCACACAATACAGACACACATGAGCTCGCTGCTGTAAAAAGATATATATTACAGCCATAAACATGTTGATACAATATTCATAACTCAATATAACTGTAAAATTTATACAGATGTCCAAAGCAATACTCCATCAATGTCCTCAACAATTCAATAAATAACTGTACATGTACTAACAATCTGTCTTGAGCCTAGATATATTTATTATGGTAATAAATTCACAGAAAAACTGCAGCATATTAAATATAGATATACATTCTTTTGGTCACTCTGGAATACGTGAGTGATTCAAAGATAAATTGAAGACTACCTTAGAAGTGAATCATGTTGCAGTCTCATTAGTGGTGACAGGTCTTCTCAAGCATCATAACTAAGTGAAAATTAATTGATTAGGTGGTTTGATATTAGACAGAATCGAGCAAAACTTCGCCATAATAACTGAACCTAAATCTATAAACTCATAGCGAACCTTTGGAGACTACATGCGCGTATGTCATGAAATTAGAATTAAATTATTCATGAAACCTTCCTTGTAGAGTGCTTTTACAAGTGACAGCTGATCGGTTGCGGTGTTATCTGCCATTAGATAATTCGTCCTTGTTAGGATTTCACCCCTGAAATGAAACCTCATTAAATTTCACACGGAGTCGGACAGTCTGAGCTAGCGATTCCCACCAAAGCTGGGCACTGGCGACGATCTTTGACATAATGTTCACTTTCCACCGCAAATCTCGACAAAAGCTGAATTCAACTCAAGTTTCTACACGTAATAAAAGCAAAGAAAGTATCCTGAAATTCAACCTGAGTTTGACCAGTTCCAAAAGAGTTTACCACTAAACAACTTGTATAGAAATGAACATACCAACTCGTAGTGAACACATCAAGTTGAAGCGCTAACTGTAACCCTAAATTTACTAAAATAAACGGATAAAAGGATATTTGTATACACCGCTCTTCGCTGGAAAGTTCTCTTTGTACTCTTTCTATGAGATCCATACTTATTTCGGTATCTTCCAGCTGGATCGGCCTGCTTCAGTTAAATTGCTGCTCAGCGCTAATTTTCCTGTCATCCGCCATGTTTGTTTTGTCAGTTGGCCTAAGGGAGACTGAACTCTAAAATAGATTGGACCCATAATCCTTAGTGCTCTTGAAAGGTTTGGGCGATAGGAAATTTTGATAGGGTTTCTTGAACGACGCGTATTTGTTAATCACTCCCTAGATGGAGAAAAAAAAGAGACCCTGTAACGATTGTTGGCGAGAGGTCTGCAAGTGGTCTGGTACTGATAACATTAGTACCAGATCTACAGACCTCTAACTAGCTCGCTTTGTTCAAGGCGAAACGTTCTTGCCGTAGCGCTGATGGCCTGCGCGCATACTACTCCGGATCACGAGGTCCGTTCCCAAGCCCAGCGGTGCCCTGGTTTTGTTTTTGGAAAGGACACTTTCTTCTCACAATGCCTCATTGTACTCAAGAATGTGAATGGGAACTGTTAGACTGCAAGGAAAACTTGATGAAGGGCTGAGATGCAGTCGTAACTCGAGATAGGATAGCGTCTTATTCAAAAGGACTAACTGCAATTCTAAGTCCCTTCGATTAGGAAAACCCAGATAAGAGCTTGATTTGTCAGGTTGGACCACTTAGCTCGCGAGCCAAATTGTCCATGTCCCTTTTTTTCTTTCGTTATATCTCTCCAGTCTATCGTAGTACATTCCTGTGTCACTTCGTCAAGTAAATCAACAATAAGAGGAAGTGTGCCTAGCAACCTTCCAAAAACGAGTTCAAGCAAAGTTTACGAAACGAGTAACATTCAGATTAATGGAGTTGATTTACTACTACAAAATGACGCTGGGAGAATATACAAAAAAGTTCACTGTAAACCCAGACTTGGCGCGATTCTTTTGCACTTTATAAAATTAAAATGGATACACCAATCGCGCTTACTGTATATTACAAAAAAATAGTCATTAGCGAACCGGTCCTCCTCTGTCTCCATCCATATCCTTACAGTCTAAACTTCAAATTGTCACAAAAATTTTGAAGTGAAAGATCTCCTTGCTGGCACCTAGTGAATGGCCCATTTCTAGACGCAAGTTAAATGATGCAAGCCTGGTGAACAGGGTGGTCTATAAGTTTGACAGTGGACCGCAAACAGCACTCGTTGGTGGCTAAGTTATCATGGACGTTACTTTTTTGTCAGATTACGCGCTAGTCCTGGATCAACTCAGTTAAAATGTCACATGCTTTCCAAGAAAATTGCGCACACCACCGAGAAAATTCTGAACAAGGAATCATAATACACATATAAACCTTTTACTGGAACATTATGCATTCGATTCAACTCACATTAGGAAATGGCGGATGAAAAAAATTTCTTCGATAGTTTTTCAAATTTTTTGCGATTTTTCATCAGGACCTATGGTATAATGAGGTGAAAGTAACCGGCTAAAATGGCTGACTAGCCTGTAGTTTTAGTCTGCTTCCTGCCCATATTGAGAGAAGGCGTGGCGCAAGGGGAGTTAAAGGAGTAAAAAGGGAAATAAGTCTTGATCTCTTCTCTTCCTAACCACAAAACCTGGCACTCCCTCGTATTTCACCGCAGCGTGTCAACTATATGGAATTAATTCAAGTAAGAAGTTTAAGTTCATGTGTTCGCCGAGTGATGTTTAGAATGTCCACACATTTGAACCGTGGAGCCGCTGATAAAACGTATTGGGACGAAATCACCTTCTCCAGAGGAAACAATACAAGGTACATCACCTAAAACAGGAACAAAAATAGTTTTACTAATCTTTTTAATTATCATATGACAAAATGGGGCGCATAAAGCGATGTCTTTTGAAGGAAAGGCGCAATTGGTTAAAAGCGCGCGAAAGTTTTCATTGCAGGGATTCAATTTATCCTAGTTGGTCAAAAAACAGCGGCCCTTTTCTGATTGGTTACCAACTAATAATAGTGGAAAGCGCGGGAAAAGTACTCCCTGGGTGGCCAACTACAATCTGCTTGGCTTAGCCTAATCGAAAGTGTCATGTACGTCAACAAATCTCAAGGGGCCTGAGAACTTTTTCTTTGTCCTACACTCGTGAAAGAAAAACAAGAAAACACCGTTCTCTATTTTATTACCGAGCGCAAAAGTTACCATTTCCCTAATCCATTGAAATAAAAAAAAAAAAAATTGTTCTGATTTATTTGTCTCCTTACTTCGTAAGGATATCCATGTAGCAAATGTATCCATCTATTCTAGAGCCATGTAATGAGATCTCTTACCAATATATATCCTGATGAGAGAAGCATTAAAAGCTTCTTGTATTGTCTGCAGCTTCAGTCGCCCTTTGTCGAGCAGGAAATTTTCCTGCTCCACGGCACCAGTTAGTTCGTCAGTCCAAACTACACAAACGAATTCTGTTCAAGAGCAAAATTGAACCAATCAAAACAATTTCAAAAGAGCGTCTATTGATTAAAGGCTACACCAAAAACAACTTTGGAATCACGTTCTCGTAATTATAATACGACTTGCGTCTGGGCATGGAGGGGGGATTGGGGATTTTGTTGGGTCAGTTGCATTCGACTTCCTTTATACTTGCGACCTTAAGGTTTGATTCAGGGGTAATATTGTAAGGAGATGATGGTCATTCTTAGGGGAAAAAAGGTTAATAAAGATTATTTACTGGACTTGGAATACTTTGATGAACTAAAACTATCATGCACCTGCTTTTTCTTGTAATGGATACAAATTCTGGCTGTAATCTTCTTTTTGACCTAAAGTAAATATCTTTATCCTTGTCTCCAATGCAGAGAGCCTTTTGTTTGTCTGTGATTCAAATGTTGTTACTGTTGCCTTTAAATCCTGTATTTCTTTAGACCAACTGGTTAGGGTTTCTGAAAATTGAAGAGAAAAACTTTACTTACAAATTAATTTAACATTACATATCAACCTTCATTTTAATTTTTTAACAACTACAGAGTGGTAATAAATGCAATGAGCTTTCAGTAAATATTAAGAAAACAAGTAACATTATTTTTAAATCAAGGCAGAAGAAACTTGGTAAATCTTTTTCCCTATCTTTTGGAAATCAAGCATTGAAACAAGTAAATGAAACAAAATTCTTAGGTGTTTACATTTATGAGAATTTAACATGGAAACCTTACATTAGCTTCGTAGCTAAACAAATCCCTGAGTCAGTCAGTATAACATTTGATGCTAATTATACTATTCATCTAAGACTAAGCTTACTCTGTACTATACGTCAATTTACCCATATATCACTTACTGTAATTCAACCTGATCGTCCACATGCGACGAACTTAAATATAATTTTTTATTTACAAAAACGTGTGGTGCAAGTGATTAACAACTCAGACTGTTGAGAGCACACTGCCCCTTTATTTGCTAAATTGGGCATCTTAGACCTTTTCCAAGTCAGCACATCAAAAATAGCTAAATTTATGTTTTATTATCATAATCAAGTATTGCCTCTGATGTTTCTCAGCTTGTTCCCTACAAATAGGCAAGTACGCACTTATGATACAAGAATAGCCAATTGCTATCAACCAAATAACTGTCCTACTAATCTTAAACAATTTACAATACTCTACCAAGGTCCTAAAATTTGGAATTCTCTCCCAATATTGATCACTGGTTTGACTAGCTTTTTTACTTTTGAAAGATAAATGATTTTTTTTTTAATGAAATGAGTCTGAATTGGCCAAGCTGCACATCCACATCCAAAACTAAGTTACAAACATATTTACAACCAAGGTGGCTTCCCCCAATAAGCCTGGTGGCTTCTTGGAGGTCTCCTCACCCTGCCATACTGTTAAACCTGTATAAATATTATATCTTAAGTGGCTAAAAGATAAAATGACGATGATGATGATGATAATGATGATAATTATTACAGATTTATAAAATACCACAGTCCCTTCAAAGGAAATTTTTATCAGTTGCAAGGTATTCTCAATCAGATTGGCAACTGAACAGTTTCTTTGAATTGTTGCTTTTTCAGTTAAAATAGAAAGAAATAATATGTCAGTACAAGTGAATCCTGAAACTAAGAGAAAAAATTGAAAGAAAAGGAAGTAAACCTTTTTATATGTCAAAACTAATTTTTTAATTTTGATTAATTGAATTAGTCTCGATTACCATAGTTTATACTGTTGTCTGTGTCTTACCCTCTAAAGTTGCCTTGGAGTTTGTGGGTAACCTTCTATCCTCATTGAGTTCCAACTCTGATATTAAGGGTGTCATCATGTCTTGGACTGATTCACTGTGTCCATTAAAAATACTTCCACCAGGAAGCCTCAATGTCAGTGAGCAGTCATTGTTTGGGACTGGAACATCACAATTAGTACTTCCATTGCTGGTTACTTCCTCTTCAAGTTCAAAATAATGATTGCGGCTTTTTTGTTTATCACACTTGTTCTCCAACTGCTTGTTTCCTTCATTGAGAACAGCACTGAAACTCTTCAAACTTACATCATAATGCTCATAAATTGCAGATGGTGGAAATGCCACCATGTTTGATACTTCTCTGGGTTTTCCAAGTAACACAAGGATGTCATCGGTGTATCCAGGAAGGAAACAAATTCCTTTAGGTTTTAAGTGTGGATCCAGAGTAAGGAACTTTCTGTTTTCCACCAAATTAGTTTTCTCTGTGGTGTCTGATGTGCTTAATGTGTAGATATGAAGTTTGTTTGAGCAATGGCTTCCAACCACAACTGTCTTTGTTGTACTCTGAGGAAAAAGAGATATCAAGTCTTAATTCTTGTACCAATGTTACTTTGTAATTTTCTGTACATTTTTAGCTTAAAATCTTAATCTTCTACAGGTACATATATCAATAATTTATGTGCCTGCAAGAGCTGTACATGTAATATTACATGTACAGAGGTACTAGATGACCTGGCCTGACATTATTTTATACATTCTTAGCTGAGTTTCTGGCAGGGTAAAGGACATAAATAAAAATTGCACAGGATTTTAGAGGCAAATTGAGCACCTGACCTCCATTTGCAACTTGGGCATTAAATATGGGTTAAAAACTCAGACCACTGTTTTTCATTAAAATTAAAGACATATTCAGAAATCACTTAATCAGTTGGGTGCAGTGCCCAGTACCTGCCGTTAACTATTTTCATTTTGATAATTTCTTACCAAAGTAACCTTTTGAAAAATTACAACTACCTCTGGTCTATCATCTAATTAGTTGAGCCAGACTCATTAGCCTCAGTGTTTTGAAATTGATGCCAAAGTTGGTGCATGCAGCACATCAATCCTTTACTGTGTCATATATTATCATAGGAGAATACAAACCTGAAACAACAGCAGATCAGGAGAAACAAGTCCTTTTATACTGGTCCTACAGACTTCTCTTGGCTTCACGTCTTCACAACATAAAGCAATGATTTGTGCAAATCTGTCAGAGGCTTCAGATTGTGGTTTCTTTAGCTTCAGGTGTAACAATGAATTTTTACCTTGATCAACACATTTAGCAAGAATGGTAAAATCAAAATCTTCTGAAGAAGCAATGGAAGTGCCACTAGAATCAGCGCCTTTGTTTCCATCAAGATCTTGAAAATTTTCTGTCTCAAAAAGATCACCATCCTTTTCAATATTACAACATAGCCTATCCAGAGGAAGTTCTGTAGCAATGATGAATGATGACCTTTCCCAAGGAACAATGCAATTTATTTTACCAACCACTTGGAGACTGTTCCACTGTGTACAAGTAAAGTGATTAGGTTTGCTCGGGTCTCTCCATGAAAATATACTCAAACTGTCCTCTACTGCTACAGCAAGACTTCTTCCATCCTTACTCCAAGCACAGGTGCGTAAATTTCTAAAAAACCAGATGAATGACAGGTAAAAATAAGAGCATCATGAGTGGTGATTGGATCCTTGCCATGTCATGTTTGGTTGTTTAAACCCTTTATGACCTTAACATCAATTGCATAATCACCATACTCTTTTCTATATAATGTCAAACCCTGTATTAAGCTATTACCCACAGGGAATGACAGGGTTACTGCCTAGTACAGACTGATTGCTTATTCAGGTTCCACAAAATAGGGGTCAAAAGCAATAAAATCCACTATTTTGTCCTAACAGTCCTAAGAAGAATGATAATCTGCAATACCTTAAGGACATTCAAACTCAAAGTGCTAACATTGATTTCAGGAGATAAATATGAAATAAATTGACTTGCAAGATCATTTTTAAGTTTTATTTGAGAGATTCTACTATAAATGAACATTCAATACAGGTGGAAAAAAAAAACCGGCCATTGGGACTCAGTTTAAGGTATGCGCTACCACTTAATAGAGGTGAAAATTACAGTACTTAAAGAAAAATATTTTGGGGACTTTGACAACCAACAATTTAAAATGGGGTAACCATTAAATATAATAACATTTAATACAGGTTAGACTGTCTTTCCCTTGATGCTGACTAGGAGAATTTGTTTAACAATCCAAGCTTCTTCGGTTGGTGATCGCCATTTACTCATGATTTTAATTATTATCATACTACAGTAAAGAGAAATAAGAAGCTGGTCACTCTTAGGGTTAAGTACATTTAGTTTCCAGTAATTTTTTAGCATTGTTGTTGCTGATCTTATTTTATTTGTTGCTATTTTTAACTTTTTCCCTTTCAGTAAGAAGAATGCTACTGACATGTTCAGAATCCCTACAAGAAAATCCTGCTTGGTCATTTGATCAGCTTAGCCGTCAGTAACGAAGCCAAACACACAAAAAAAGCCTTTCAAGAATTTTCGAAGTTTTTGACAATTCTATGGCAATTCAAGCTCAGAATAACCATCAGCTATATTTGTGGAATCCCCTCAGTCTGTTGCTGGTCAATATTTCACACTGCAGTACACGGTACACTGTGATTTTCAGGTTACGAGTTGTATATAATTATAATGAAGTTCATGGTAACTATTTTGTTATCTTGCAGTATAAATTAACGCTTTCTTCTCTAATGCCAATGGATTTATATACAGCTTACCTGTGTGAAGTTTGTATTGAGATGACATTGCAATCGTGTTCTTCCGAAAAACATAATAATACCGCCGATGTTTTGGAGAGCACAGAAAGCATTGGAATATCAGGATGCCACTCAGAACCTCGAGGTAAACATTCCACAAAGTAATCTTTCACCAGGGTGACGAAAGCTTCCCCGATCTTTCTCCACAGAACAACAATTTTTTTCTTTAGAACAACTGCAATGTAATATCCAGTAGAATCTCTGATCAGCGCACTGCATGATATTCCTATAACAAGACTTTCGAATTCTCCAACTAGACAGCGTTCCTGTGCTAAAAAATCCTCTCCTTCCCATTTGCGGGTAAATTTCATTAATGACAACCACACTCTTTCTCCATCAGTCCATACTAGTTCACCTGACTGTTCATTTCCGCTATTTTTGTAGTAAATTTGAATCACTTGGTGCAAATAATCGGCATTTGATCTCAGCAACTTGCATTTCCCGAGCTCAAACTCTGCCGCCATGGTTGGCAAAGATTCCCATCATGCCCAGCGAGCACACACCTCAGACTGGTGGCGATTGACCTAATACCCCGGCACAGGAGTTTGCCTCATTTGGAGTTAATTGAGTTTTGAAAATTTCGATGTAAAATTAAAGTGCGGCTTTTATTCGAGGTTGGAGTCAAATCATTTGTAAACATCATATCAAACAGAAACATAATTTAGCCGAGTCTCATTTTTCAGGTAAGGTAGAAGCGTCAGTTGTTTGGCTCTTTATATGCAAAACAGGATAGCTCAGACTAACAAGTTAAACTGTCTTTCAATTTTTTTCCTCATAGTCCTGAAATAAACGCGCGTTCTTCCAATGGGGTGCTGCATTTATTTCAGCGGCGTTCATTGGTAATTGTACATCCATCAGCATCAAGGGCGGCGTTTATTAGAAGTGGCGTTAAATCGAATTGTTATGATGATTACTTTGGGGTGACAAGCATTTGAAGCACTCACGGCTGTTCACTCGCAGCTTTGTCGCTAATAAGGCAAGGGTCGCACTTAGGAAAAGTTTTCAACAACGGGAAAGGGAAACTTCTTTAGTCAAACAAGTAGAGTCGCACTTAACAGATTTAGAACTGAAGCACACCGGGAAGATCTTAAAAGGGGAACCTCGATCAGGGTGCTACCTCTTCAGAGACAGGATGGATTCCTTCGCTTACTGATAGCCTCTCAATTGACGAAGAGACCGGAGAATTGGCTAAATGTTGATGCACATGTTACTTGTGTCAACGTCTTTATGTGCAAGCTTCAACAGTCTCGTAACACGCTCTTCCTATGGTTACATACAGAATGACACAAATTTGACGCGAATGACGCCACTGTTTTGTCTCCATAGTTACAGATGACGTCAGGAATCATTTCTAGTTTCCAACGAGGATTTCTGGAGCTTCTCTCAGTCGCCGGAAGGGCATCGTTGGTCATGACGCATCTGGAAGCAATTTCGCTTATTCGCTCCTTTTCTACTATTTTTCTCTTCTCCATACCGCTGACAACGCAGCAAATTGTTAGAGATTCTGCCGATGGCTTACGCTTCGCAAATTTTGCCAGACACGAAAAGCAAAGACTGGATACCAACCAGCTACAGTCCAGCACTGCCAATGAGTACACAGAATGCTTAGAGAGATGTTTGGTTCACGAAAGCTGCACATCACTCAATTATGGTGGAAATGAGGGTGCCGAGTGTCAGCTATTGGAGGCTAACAAGCACGATTCTCCCGAAAAGATGAAGTTCGATGAGACATTTGTGCATTTCTCGCTAAAGGTAAGAGAAAGTTTGGCCCATTTTAAGCGTTTTGAATAATAACCAAACATCACAAGTTTATAACCTCTTTATAATATCTTGCCAGACATGATTTTGCTACATTTTACTCCAATATGAACCTCTACGAACTTTTTTTTCGAAGGACCAAATGGGCAGAAATAAAGTCAACAAATTTTAAATTTAAAATAAGAAAGATGGTTAGTTTTGAACACAGTTAACAAATAGAGAAATATGTTTTTCGTCTTGTCACGAACGTGGGACAAAGAAAAAATTCTGTGTTCCAATCAGGAATCGAACCTCAGACCATCGGAATCCGCACTCCGATGTTCTACTACTGAGCCAAAGAGACTCTATGGTGAGCAAGGTCCATTACGAAGTTAATATACATGACAAGCGTCCTGTTTGCCGCTAGGATCAGCGATGTCGATAGCGTCATGTTTGTACACAGAATTAGAAATATGGTAAGTTTTGAATCGGAAGGTCTGAGGTTCGATTCCTCGTGGGGAATCAGAATGTTCTTTCTTTCAGTCCCACGCTCGTGACACGAAGGAAAACATCTTCTCTAAATATAAAAATTTCTTCACGACTTTGCGGAAAATTTAGAAAGTACTTAATTAAATATAGTCATGCATATCAGCTTGGAACTCATATCAGTTTTTCTCAAATTCGAGTTTTATATACCTACTTTCCTTTTTCCAAAAAAAAAAATATATATATATATATGTGCATTGCACGTAAAGAAAATAGTTCTCAAAACATTCAGCAACACATCAGCTCTAAAGAAAGTTCAATTTCAGTTATGAAAGGAACTTGAATGAACCACGATAAGAGCCTTAATAAGTTATCTTTAAAAGGTAACTGAATACTTCACAGCTGCTAAGTTGCAAATTTAAATTTTACCCCTATTTATACATTGAATTCTAAATTGAAAGGTTTAAATATTTAATATGTCTACCAGTTTTACCGCAAAATTAAAGAGGAATTCTCAGAAAAATTTAATTAAAAAGTTTTAAGATCTGGTCATTAGCGTAAGATAAATGAAATAAAAAACGAGTGCTGCCCTAATTACTTAGCAAGACGCTCCTGTTTCACTTCAATCGCAAAGCGTTAGTCTAACGAACTCTATCATTTCATTATTTTTACAAAATCAACGGTCTGCACCGATAGATAACAAACAAAGATCACCTATTCAAAAGACATGGCGACATCTTCCTCAAGTCAATTCAAAGTCAAAAGAAAAATTTCTAGTTAAACTTTTTTGGACCCTTTTGGTGAAGAATATTAATTATTATTAACTTTTCGAGCTAGCCGATCGGCGCACACGAGAGCACTTAACATCCGTGTGGTATATAATAATCGCCAGATACTTAGACCTTGCGGCCGATGTGATTAAAGCCTCCCAATAAGTTGAAAGAGCATTTATAGCTATTGCTATCGAAAAGTAGACAAACTTATTTGTTTTAAAAAAAGTCGCTTTGTAAAGTCAAGCCTTGTATTGCTTCGCCTGCTTGGAAATAGCGAACTTAGTGGTTTTTGAACGCTAAAATGTTGAGATTCAGGCCTGAAAGAATATTTAAGTGGCTGTAAAGATGCAAAATTCTTGTTATACATTAATTTCCTGTCTCTGTTACAGAGCCCTTGCGACAATAAACCATGTTTAAATAGAGAAAACTGTATCCCAGACTACCAAAAAGATACCTACCGATGTCGTTGCCCTTGGCAATACAAAGTTTTGGAAAACTGTCAAAAAGGTGAGGTCATTTGGTTTTTCTTACAAAAAATAGTTTTTAAATAGTTTTTAGAAGTGAAATTTGTCTTCTAGGCGTTTGCTAATGAAAGAAAAAAAATCTCAGAACTCTTCCATATTTATAAGAAAAATATGTGTATTCCGCTGGTATAAATACCCCACCCCCCCCCCGGCAAAGTTCAAATTTCCCACCCCTGGGGCGCGGACGACAGTCAAATACCCTCTGGGTTACCTTAGAGGGGGGGGGGATGTTGAAACTTCAAATAGATCGACTTACTTATTTTTAACTACTTGATTACTGAAGTTACAATTGGCTTATCAGTACATGCAGGATAAATAACCGAAGACTCTGAAAACCATGTGAGTCACAGATAAAAGTAAAGACCTTATGTGATATGCAAACGAGTGTAAGCAAACTTTACGACGCGCCCGGGGTGGGAAGGTGTATGCTTTTAACCCTTTTACTCCGTTGAATGACCAAGACAGAATTTCTCTTTACAATATTAATACAGTATCAGGCAGCCAAGTGATGAGAATGAAGAGAAATATCAATTACGGGATTATCAGTTGATCCAGTACCTAATTCTCCAAACTAATATCATAGGAGTTATATGGCAAACAGTTAGAAGAACTACTAATGAGATCCTGAGAGTGAAAGAGTTACGGCATCTATTACTGGAAACATGAAGGTTATTACCATAGGATCGACGGATTTGATTGAACCTTTGAGCTACCATTACAAAAGTTGTACTTTTTCAATTCAAATTAGCCAAGGGGAGAGTCATACACATCCCTGGTGTTTCAGCGTGTTTCATTGTTTGTACTCGTAGGTCGAATCCTTCCGTCCGCCGATGGAGACTGGATTGCCTTCTGGTGGTATGACGTTGGTACCACGTGGCCGTCAAATGAAAAAGACGTCCTTGCTTACGAATTTGGTTACTGCGAGCCACGTGATCCGTACTGCTTTAGTCGGCTCCCTGCAGATTCTAAAGCAGATCTCACTGAAATGCTTGCAGTTGACTCAGAAGGTACCGCGTACAAGTGGAATTTCAGTTCTAACGCTTCAGCTACCAGTGCAGCTTGGCGGGCGTTTCATGATCACAAGGAGGTAAACCAAGGAGAGAGCGTAGGCATACTTGCATGGAATCCAGAAGTGCTGAACGGTAGCGAGCCGAAAGATGACCAACGTGCATTCATGTACCGTGAGCAGAATGGAGTCAAGTCGGTGCTGTTGGATGACGATTACTGTGATTGTCATTCAACCCTAAGTCTCGGACACGGTATGTGTCTATCTAATCATAATCCTGTTTATTCTGACGTCAACAGTTTTGGCGTGGATGCACTTTATGATCCCGGCTGTCACGGACCAAGATCAGGTATTGGTCTTACGCTGTATGTCCGCAGAAAAACTCCTAATTAATACTCATCATGACTAAATGATAACCTCTACGTATTTTCTTCAGTAACTTAGAAGCAAACTATTTATTTCAAATATTCCATTTAAAAGACTTGGATTCTTTTAATTCTCTCACACCCAATATTTGATTGTTAATTCTCCCCTTTAGCAGCAACTCATTTCTTTGTAAATTAGCAACAGGAATTTGGTGTTGGATCAAAATAAAAACTTCTACTTGATGACAACTTTTGAGTATGGGAGTATACGATGTTGTTAATTGTTGATCACTTGTGGGAGTATACCAGGAGCCCATCAGTAAACCGATTAAGCGATAAAGCAGTTCAAAGTATTCCTATCTATTTCTTCAGTAACTTATAAGCAAACTATTTATTTCAAATATTCCGTCTAAAACACATCGATTATTTTAATGCTTTCTCACCCAATATTTGATTGTTAATTCTGCCCGCTAGCAGCTACTCATTTCTTTGTAAATTAGGAACGGGAATTTGGTTTTAGATCAAAATAAAAACTTCTACTTGATGACAACTTTTGAGTATTCTCATTATATTTGTTTCCTGGATAATGTGTAAATGCTATAGGATGTAGCTACTTGTTGACAACTTCTGGGAGTAAACTGATTAAGCGATAAACCTGTTTAAAATACCCCCATTTATATTCCTTCACCGTATACATCTTTGATTTTCATCTACATGGTCACACTTGTTATTTGGGTATTTTCTTTTTCCCACCCAACGTTGAAATTTTTCTTACCTCTGAAGGACTTATTCCAACACTTCGACCCCTACGAATGAGAATAAGTTTTTTCAGGTCCTCAACACTTTTGAAATCAACTGTTATTTGTGTCCCATCGGGAGATGTGCAATTTCCAAAACCAAAAACAAAAAAAAATGAAAAAAAGAAGCAACCGACACATACCAAAACCGTATCAGAAAAAACATCACAGTGGATAATTACTCAGAACAAAAAGAGAAAAAGGAAAGAAGAAGATAAATATCATGATATTAAGAAGAAAAAAAAAGAGAAAAGACAGCAAAAACAAAATGCAAATTCCATGGGGAGGAGTAACTCGGCCCAAGCCAGTTTGAGAGTTACTCCTTATCCGCCAGCTCCAAATCATACTCGGGGAGAAGTTATTCGGCCCCCAAGCCAGATTAAGAATAACTCTTATAGCGTGATTCGAACCCGCGACCTCGATGACCTCTCCTGCACTCGTTGCGCGCCCACGACTACCGCTCGACCATCTGGAAACTGCATAATTAATAAGGATAAATTGTCGTTGTGAAGAGTTTTTTAATACTGGGTCGGTGGGAGGGGGGGGGTGAGGAAGTTTCTCTGACTGAGAGTGAAGTGGTGCATTTCTGGTCAAGAATAAAGGAAACGAATCGCACAAAGAACTAACAGAAGCGATAGAAACGAAGAATATTAGCAAATGTTTTAATGGCGAACGGCTTCAGAGAAGCTATTCTTTATCAAGCATGTGCATTTGGACAATGTTACACACCAGGTAACACGCATTCTTATCTCTATGGACGCATTTTTTATACATACATTTCTTTTACTTTATGTTTACTTCAGACTTCTATGTTTTTGTTTGACAGCGGATTCTTCGTAAGACAGGAGCACGAAGTTCTGACTTTATAACACATAAATTAAAGAGCCTGACATCCTGCTTCGTACTTCTTTATAAAAAAAACTTTAACAATCTCGTACGTGGTCTTCCTATGGTTAGATACAGAAAGACAACAATTTGACGCGAATGACGCCACTCTTTTGTCTCTATAGTTACAGATGACGTCAAGAATTATTTCTAGTTTCTAATAGGAATTTCCTGAGCTTCTCTCAGTCGCCAGATGGGCATCGCTGATCATGACGCATCTGGAAGCAATTTCGATAATCCGCTCCTTTTCTACTATTTTTCTCTTCTCCATACCGCTGACAACGCAGAAAATTGTTAGAGATTCTGCCGATGGCATAAGCTTCGCAAATTTTGCCATACACGAAAAGCAAAGACTGGATACCAACCAGCTGCAGTCCAGCACTGCCAATGAGTACACAGAATGCTTAGAGAGATGTTTGGTTCACGAAAGCTGTACATCACTCAATTATGGCGGAAATGGGGATGCCGAGTGTCAGCTATTGGAGTCTAACAAGAACGATTCTCCTGAAAAGATGAAGTTCGATGAGGCATTTGTGCATTTCTGGCTAAAGGTAAGAGAAAGTTGTGCCCATTTTAAGCGTTTTGAATAAGAACCAAACATCACGGAATTATAACCTCTTTATAATGTCTTGCCAAACGTGATTTTGCTACATATTGCTATCAACCTTTACGAACTTTTTTTGATGACCAGGTTGGCGAAAATATAGTCAACAAATTTTACATTTCTTTCGGACTTTTCAGGAAAAGAAGAGAGTACTTTTCTAAATAAAGTCTTATTAAAGGGTTTAATTCAAATCACTTTCGAAACCGCATCAGTTTGCTTAAATGCGATTTTTTTATACCATATTATTTATTCAAGTAAAAGAAAAAAAGCATCGTAAGTCAAAAACAGTTATCAAAACATTAATCAACACATCACCTCTGTAGCATGAACCACAATAAATGTTTTGATAACTTGTATTTTATAGGTATAAACTACAAAGTTTCTTGGCGCGGGGCAATTTATAAATCTTTATCTTTTAAAACCATTTATCAAAATTTAAAGTTCAATTTTACAAAAAGTGAAAGAAGAATTCTCAGAATAACATAAAGAGTCCTTAGCGTAAGATAATTTAAATGCAATGCCCGTGCTGCCCTGGTTAATAAACGAGATTTACCTGTTTCACTTAAATCGCGAAACTTTTGTTTAAGTAAATCTATCACTCCTTAATTTTCCCAAAATTAATGATCCACAACGATTTCATCCACTGAAATCAACTTTTGTTTCAAAAAAGTCATTCCGAAAATCAACATCTGTTTTCGACGGGACACTGTTTGTGAAAGTTTTATTGCGAGCTTATAAAAGACAATAGCTCAACATCGTCCATAAGGCATGAAAATGTGTTCTTCCATTTTTTCCTTGGACATAATCTGCTCCTCAAAGTTCACAGCTTCGTTCTCAGAAAATTAACTGTTCGCTTCTCTCAACTGAAAATATCCACAGACATCTATGCCTGCTTGTTTTCACGCCAAACTAAGGCTATTATTTATTCATGTGGTTTAGCGCTTGAAGAAAATATGGAAAAGTTTCCTTTTTACCCCTCGGCCAAATAATCCACAACCACCGTTTAACGAAAGGACAAAAGTGTTTTTACAAAGCAGTGATGATTTGGTGAGATTTATCTCGTCACGGACAAGCGTATTATACGTGAAACGAAAACAAAAGTTTGTTTTGGATGGAATTGATAAACTGGGAAAAGGTGTCCGCTCCAGGAGGAATATTTTTCTGGTTTGTTTGGCAATCTGCTGAAGTAAACTGGTTTCCATTCAAAAAGTTTTGTTTTATTTATCTCCCGCGGTGGACCTCTACTGTCGTCTCCCGTTGTAAGCCCTCTACTGTTAATACGTAAATAAGAAATTGGCGAATTGGGTAGTTTTTAACGCTGAACTGTTGGGATTTAAGCCTGTGATTAGAATTTAATGATTGTAACAATGTAGAATTCTTGTTACGCTTTAATTGCCTGTCTTTTCTGCAGAGCCCTTGTGACAATGAACCATGTTTAAACAGGGAGAAATGTATCCCAGACTACCAAAAAAATACCTACCGATGTCGTTGCCCTTGGGAATACAACGTTTTGAAAAACTGTGAAAAAGGTGAGGTAGAGCGGTTCAAGTTTCGTACAAAAAGAAAATAGTTTTTAACCGGCTGGTCTCGGTTCGTGTTTAATGCAAGGCGTACTTTTTTTATAAGTACATGATCACTAAAGTTGAATTTGGCTTATTAATGCATGTAGAATTGATGAAAGAGGACTCTGAAAGCCATGTGAGTCATAACTTGAAAGCTAAGACTTCATGTGATAGGCAGACGAATGTAACACGGCTGAATTTTTCAACGCCCTTGGTGGGAAGGTGTAAGCCCTTAACCCTTTTACTCTTATCAGTGACTAAGACAGAATTTCAAGCAAGAATTTTAAGCAGACAAGTTATGAGAATAAAGAAAATATCGACTAGGGGATTAATAGTTGATTCAATAACAAATTATCTAAATTGACATTATAAGAATAGTATGGCAGACGATAGGGATAATTGCTGCGGAGATCCTGGGAGTTACAAGATTAAGGTAACATGTCACTGGAATCATGAAACAAATGCAGATGTTACCGTAAACTCGATAGATTCGATAAAAAAACGTTTAAGCTATCGCTATGAAAGTTGTTACTTTTTCAAACCAAATTAGCCAAAGGGAGAGTCATACAAATCGTTGGCCAGGTTTAGTTACCTCTTCGTGGTACGTCTAGGCTTTTTTCAGCGTCTTTCATTGTCTGCAATCGTAGGTCGAATTCTTCCGTCCACCGATGGAGACTGGATAGCCTTCTGGTGGTATGACGTTGGTACCACGTGGCCCTCAGATGAAAAAGATGTCCTTGCTTACGACTTTGGTTACTGCGAGCCACGTGATCCGTACTGCTTTGGTCGGCTCCCTGCAGATGCTGAAGCAGATCACACTGAAATACTTGCAGTTGACTCAGAAGGTACCGAGTACAAGTGGAGTTTCAATTCTAACGCTTCGGCTGCAGGTGCAGCTTGGCAGGCGTTTCATGATCACCAGGAGGTAGACCATTGGGAGAGCGTAGGCAGTACATCTGCATGGAATCCAGAAGTGCTGAACGGTAGCGAGCCGAAAAAGGACCAACGTAAATTCATGTACCGTGAGCAGAATGGAGTCAAGTCGTTGCTGTTGGATGACAATAACTGTGATTGTTACTCAACCCTAAGTCTCGGACACGGAATGTGTTATCGTGGTCATAATCCTGATTATTCTGGCGTCAACAGTTTTGGTGTGGATACTCTGTATGATCCCACCTGTCAAGGACCAAGATCAGGTATTGGTCTTACGCTGTATGTCCGCAGAAAAACTCTTAATTAACACTCGTCATGACTAAATAACAACCTTTTACGTATTTTCTTCAGTAACCTATAAGCAAGCTATTTATTTCAAATATTCCATTTAAAAGACAACGATTCTTATGATGCTTCAACACCCAATATCTGATTGTTAATTCTCCCCTTTAGCAGCAACTCATTTCTTTGTAAATTAGTAACGGGAATTTGGTGTTAGATCAAAATAAAAACTTCTACTTGATGACAACTTGATGAGTATTTTCATTATATTTGTTTCCCGGATAATGTGTAAAGGCTATAGGATGTAGCTACTTGTTGGTAACTTCTGGGAGTAAACTGATTGAGCGATAAAGCTGTTCAAAATATCCCCATTTATATTCCTTCACCGTATACATCTTTGATTTTCATCTGCATGGTCACACCTGTTATTTGAATATTTTCTTTTTCCCACCCAACATTGAAATTTTTCTTACCTCTGAAGGACTTATTCCAACACTTCGACCCCTACGAATGAGAAAAAAGTTTTCAGGTCCTCAACACTTTTGAAATCAACTGTCATTTGTGTTGTATCCCTGTATCATATTTGTATCCCTGTATTGTATTTGTATCCCTGTATTGTATTGTGCAATTTTGAAAAAAAAAATAGAAATGAAAAAAAGAAGCAACCGACACATACAAAAACCGTATCAGTAAAAATACCATAGTAGATAACTACTCAGAACAAAAAGAGAAAAAGGAAGGAAGAAGATAAATATCATGATAATTAGAAAAAAAGATAAAAAGATAGCAAAATCAAAATTCAAATTCCACGGGGAGGAGTTACTCGGCCCCCAAGCCAGTTTGAGAGTTGCTCCTTGTCCGCCAGCTCCAAATCATACTCGGGGAGAAGTTATTCGGCCCCCAAGCCAGATTAAGAATAACTCCTATAGCGTGATTCGAACCCGCGACCTCGATGACCTCTCTAGCACTCGTTGCGCGCCCACGATTACCGCTCGACCATCTGGAAACTACATAATTAATAAGGATAAATTGTCGGTGTGAAGAGTTTTTTAATACTGGGTCGGTGGGAGGGGGGGAGGGTGAGGAAGTTTGTCTGACTGAGAGTGAAGTGGTGCGTTTCTGGTCAAGAATAAAGGAAACGAATCGCACAAAGAACTAACAGAAGCGATAGAAACGAAGAATATTAGCAAATGTGTTAATGGCGAACGGCCTCAGAGAAGCTATTCTTTATCAAGTATGTGCGTTTGGACAATGTAACACACCAGGTAACACGCATTCTTATCTCTATGGACGCATTTTTTATACATACATTTCTTTTACTTTATGTTTACTTCAGACTTCTATGTTTTTGTTTGACAGCGGATTCTTCGTAAGACAGGAGCACGAAGTTCTGACTTTATAACACATAAATTAAAGAGCCTGACATCCTGCTTCGTACTTCTTTATAAAAAAACTTCAACAATCTCGTACGTGGTCTTCCTATGGTTAGATACAGAAAGACAACAATTTGACGCCAATGACGCCACTCTTTTGTCTCTATAGTTACAGATGACGTCAAGAATATTTCTAGTTTCTAATAAGAGTTTCCGGAGCTTCTCTCAGTCGCCAGATGGGCATCGCTGATCATGACGCATCTGGAAGCAATTTCGATAGTCCGATCTTTTTCTTCTATTTTTCTCTTCTCCATATCTCTGACAACGCAGCAAGTTGTTAGAGATTCTGCCGATGGCATAAACTTCGCAAATTTTGTCATACACGAAAAGCAAAGACTGGATACCAACCAGCTACAGTCCAGCACTGCCAGTGAATACACAGAATGCTTAGAGAGATGTTTGGTTCACGAAAGCTGCACATCACTCAATTATGGCGGAAATGAGGGTGCCGAGTGTCAGCTATTGGAGTCTAACAAGAACGATTCTCCTGAAAAGATGAAGTTCGATGAGGCATTTGTGCACTTCTCGCTAAAGGTAAGAGAAAGTTGTGCCCATTTTAAGCGTTTTGAATAAGAACCAAACATCACGGAATTATAACTTCTTTATAATGTCTTGCCAAACGTGATTTTGCTATATATTGCTATCAACCTTTACGAACTTTTTCTGATGACCAGGTAGGCGAAAATGTAGTGAACAAATTTTAAATTTCTTTCGGACTTTTCAGGAAAAGAAGAGAGTACTTTTCTAAATAAAGTCTTATTAAAGGGTTAAATTCAAATCACTTTCGAAACCGCATCAGTTTGCTTAAATGCGATTTTTTTTATACCATATTATTTATTCAAGCAAAAGAAAAAAAGCATCGCAAGTCAAAAACAGTTCTCAAAACATTAATCAACACATCACCTCTGTAGCATGTGTTGAAGTCCTAAATGTAATAACTGTCCTAAATGTAATAACTGTCCTAAATGTAATAAAGTCCTAAATGTAATAACATTTGGTCCTAAATGTAATAAAGCCCTAAATGTAATAACATTAGGTCCTAAATGTAATAAGCCTCCAATCGTTTAACTGTGCTAACATTGAGATGTTAAAGCGACAGCTGTTGCACCAAAGAATCCTCTGACCTGTATTCATGGCATATTGCGGGCTCGCTGATATTAATCAGGGTCTTTTTATTTGCTAAAGACGTAGGTTGAGAAGCATTGGCTACAAAACCTTATACTAATGTGCTTTTGGCATCAAATTGACGGACGCAAAAGCAATGACAACGCTGATCAATAGCTCTCTTTATATCATGGGCTCAGACTCTCAATTAAGTGTAACAGATTTTGACGATATACTTGTGTGATCAGTGCTGAAGTCAACACTTCATGAACCAAATTACAAGGAAAAGGAAGTCCACTGACCTATACGTTAGACAAATTCCGGGCTCGTAAGTGCATTTTTTGTACTGTCTTTCCTTACCAGATTTGAATGGGTCTGCATAAAATATATTCATAAGTGTTATTGACCAAGCGTGAGGTCAAAATGGCTGGATATTGGGCGAGTTCTTTATTTTTTTTTTTGCGTTTTTATGGACTGAGACGAAGTCTCGGTCCGTAAAAAAGGTAAAAAAAGAACGAGGCTAACATCCAGTCATCTTGAACGAACAAGCTTGGTCAAGAGAGTTTGTATTCTCTTGGCTTAATCATTAAAGGATTCATTGTATGGCAAAAGATCTCGCTTTGATAAGAATCAAGAATGGCTTGTTTATTTCGAGAACCGATAGTGAAAACCAACTGTGTTTGCAACACAATAAACCCAAGAGGGTCGTTTATTTTTTTTCTATGTATATGCCGACATTGACCAAAAGTTACGAACTTTGAAAGTTTTCTTGCGTGGGGTCAATACGGGGAATCCAAAGCGGGCGAGGGTAGGCCCATCATGCCCGCTCAGGTAGCCAGTCAGAACACAGGATTCACTTCATCTTGCCCACGCGTGCTGCTAGCTATATGATAAAGTGACTTACAGAGCAAGATATCTACTGACCAATCATATATTATTCCATTTCACGATCACAGGTCTCGACATGTTGCCTTTTTTCCACGCAAGAGCATTGAGCTACAACATTCAACGCATGATGGTCAGTTGATGGTCTGATAAACCATTCATTTTTTTCCTTTAGCCCCTTATGACGGGTTCATCAGTTCCCGAACCGAAATATTGGGAAAACATATATTTTACAGTTGATCTCAAGTCTCTTTGTCTTCATCTCTTCTCCCTGCCGTGAGGGGAGAAAATGAATAGATAAATAGATGAATGAAAAAGGAAAGCTCAACAGTTTCCACTTATAGTCATATGGTACATGAACTGATTACTGAGGTGGAGTAAAGCCATAGAGGGCTACAAATGCAATATCCCAGGTTCAAAATTGAATAAATCAAGGTAGTCATTCTTAAAAACGAACTCAAATGCTTCATTAAAATTAATTGACACTGAATAACATAGATGTGCAAAACTTCAGTAACACTTTTCTTTTGGATTAACACGTGACACAGCGAAATCATTCAGACTGCTCTAAAATGGTGCATCACTACTAAAGACTCTAACACGAACGATAACATCAACAATAACATGCTAGTTCATCATCAATTGTAGTAAATTTAAATTTAGTCCTAATGATTACGTACCAATCGATTCCATCCTATTGAGCTTCCAGCCAAGCACCAGCCTACTTTAGGCTGGAAATGATTTTTTTCAACTCGATCAATAAACCGCTCAAAGGACCATACTTCGACTGCTGATATTTCTTATGTCTAGCAAGTAAAAGGACGCCCATTGATATCAGCGAGCCCGTAGTGTGATATGTATACTGGTCAGCGGTTTTTTGGTGCAACAGCTGCCACTTTAACATCTCAAGATGGATGTCCGCCATAGCAACAATGCACTGAAGGAGTTAAACGATTGTATTAGAGGCTTATTACATTTAGGACTAAATGTTATTGCATTTAGGACTTTATTACATTTAGGACCAAATGTTATTACATTTAAGACTTTATTACATTTAGGACAGTTATTACATTTAGGCCTTCAACAGCATGAACCACAATAAATGTTTTGATAGCTTGTATTTTATAGGTATAAACTTCAAAGTTTCTTGGCGCGGGGCAATTTATAAATCTTTATCTTTTAAAACCATTTATCAAAATTTAAAGTTCAATTTCACAAAAAGTGAAAGAAGAATTCTCTGAATAACATAAAGAGTCCTTAGCGTAAGATAATTTCAATGCAATGCCAGTGTTGCCCTAGTTAATAAAAGATATTTATCTGTTTCACTTAAATCGCGAAACGTTTGTCTAAATAACTCTATCACTTCTTAATTTTCCCAAAATTAATGATCCACAACGATTTCATCCACTGAAATCAACTTTTGTTTCAAAAAGTCACTCCGAAAATCAACATCTGTTTTCAACGGGACACTGTTTGTAAAAGTTTTATTGCGAGCTTATAAAAGACAATAGCTCAACATCGTCCATAAGGCATGAAAATGTGTTCTTCCATATTTTCCTTGGGCATAATCTGCTCCTCAAAGTTCACAGCTTCGTTCTCAGAA